ATCTCATAAACATGTTATGACTTTAACCATCTTATTGGTTAAAGGGCATATTCTTTCTCCAACAATGTGGGCATTAATTGAGAATGCTGAGTAGGATACAATTGTCAAAACTAGCACGGATAAAATGTCACGTGTGATTTAGGCTACAATGGGGAATCGACTTGCATTTTAGCTCACCATTGAAGTAGGTCTCCTTCTTCATCATATAGAACATGTCCATTTGTAGGTACTGAGGCAACTCATTTAGAACATGTCCATTTGTAGGTACTGAGGCAACTCATTTGGACCATGTCTGTACGAGTTGGAGCTGCTACTTCCACCATGTTCTATATACATCTAAATACTCGATCCTTGATAAATGTCTTCATCAAGGTCTTGGTCGTCTCTGCTGGCGTTGGCCGTTCCATTGTACCTAGTCTCATACAAAGGAAAAAAGTTTTCCAATTTTCTATTAAAGTCTATCATATATGAGCTATAGTCATAATCTAAATGCTGACCTATCTTAGTAACTATAAGTTTAAAAATGTATAATTTAAAATTATGATCTACAATAAGACCTAATCCATATAAGAATGGAATATCCAACTAATTTTTTCGATAATTTTTTTTCCTTTTTTTTTTTCCGATATTTAGCCAAAGTTTTAGAAATTTGAAGTAAAATATCTAACACTACATTAGTAGTAGGATAATAAATACCACTTAATGTATTATTAGAATCGTAAAAAACTTGAAATGAATGGAAAATATCGTAAACTATCCAATCCGAATCATTGATGATTTTGTCTGGATAGCTCTTCCGTTTGATAAAATTTGTAATTTGTCTTGCGGTTAGCATAACTCTTTGCAACATCAAGTATGTGGAGTTCCAACGGACAAACATATCCATACATAACTTCTTTGGTCGAATCAACAGCTCCTCTTGGCGACAATATTTTACGTGCTCACTCCATCCTGTATTGCTACTAGCGATGAATCTAATAGTCCTGCACACCCTTTCAATCCTCGAATGTATACCTTCTAAATCTGCTTTAACAATCAAATTGATTATGTGATAAGCACATCTCTAGTTAAAAAATTTGTCGTCACCATGCGGATCCAATCTCTTTCCTAATAAAGAAATTGTCTTGGTGTTGGCAGTTGTGTTATCAAGCATTAGTGCCACAACTCTCTTAGTTATTAAATAATCTTGCAAAACTTTAATAATTGTAAAATAAATTGTCTCAATACTATGTTTAGCAACTAATGGTTTAAAACCTATCAATTTTTGCTGTAAACGCCAACCATGATCTAGTTAATGTATTGTGACACTCAAAAAATTTGTTTTTGATCTAGCAACCCATATGTCTGAAGTAAGTGCAATATATATCTTCCTATTCAAATTCTATTTTAAGTTGATCTTTAAATTTATTATAATTTTTTAGTGTGTCCCTTCTACTTGCACCTCTACTAACAGGGCTATAAGCTGGACAAAAAGCATCTGTAATCAATTCAACCAAAAAAAAAAAAAAAAAAAAATTCAGATAAAAAAGAGGAGAGTCTGTAGCAACTATGAATCTTGCTATTGGCTTTTGTGCTTTGAGTACATTGTATTACTAGGCTGACAGAGTTGAGGATTGTGGATTAAAATTAAGTTCAGTTCGAATTTGCCTACCTAGTGCAGTTGAAGTTGAACCAGAACCTTCGGGTTGCATAAATTGGGGGTGCTTCTTCTCGAGGTGTCGTTGCATCGTCGAAGTCCAATGCTCAACGCCGATAATGGTTGCAAAAAAGTTAGATACCCCATACGTTTCTTCCCCCTCCCCATTTGGCTCAGTCCCCTTTGATTTGGTGAAGCATTGCCATACCGAAGACACAACCCTCTTTGATAGTCTTATTGGGCCCGCGGTGTCGCAGCTCCCTTGTATTTGGCTGCACGCAATCTCAGCCATTTCTGGTTGTGAAATTGCTGCCTCTAGAAAGGGTGAAAATGGATCGAACCCTTCCATTTATTCAGTGGATGGAACGTGAAACTCATTTGCGGATGATCCTTTTAATGCATAATTTTGGGAATCAATTACGAATTTATGATGAAATAATAAATAACTAAAATGAAAGAAATTGAATAATATAAATAATAATATGAAAATAAATGAATAAATGTATATATAAACCGAAGAGAGTTTAAGAATTGGAGTAGAGAGAATGAGAGATTGAGAGTTTGCCAGGGGTGTTTTTTGAAATAAGGAGGGAGGGTGATGCGTGTTTCCTACAACATGCAAAATGTAGCAAGTATACTAATCGCACAAGTAATAAAATGATGAGTAGAGTATCGTTCCTACGAGGATTGTTAGCTAAGCACTAAGTTTCCTAATGTTATCAAGTTGAAGCAAACGACTTCTTTGGATTGATGGGAGCTAATTCTAACTAAACTTAACAATAAATTTTAAACTAAAATTTAACTAAGAGTGCAATATTAAAACTCGGATAATCAATTCAAGTAAAACAGGTAGGGTTTTGATTTCATTTGGATTTTATGGGTTAAACCTAAAAATTACACTACAATCACATTCATACGCAATGGTTGTAAATTGAACTCACTAAGATGTTAAACATACCCTCTCGGGCTATGTTTTCCTATTCATCCTTATTAACCTTCCGCACCCAACAATTTGAAGGTTAACAATTCCAAACTCATTAAGCAAAAGAATCCTACAATGATTTCATTAATTCTTGAATCTATCTCTAGCATCCAATATTATAATGGTGATTACCCAAGAAGCCTAACATGACTCATTTCTCAATCTCATCATGTTCATCACATAAAGCATTAAAACTCAGAGTAAACACACAACCAAAGCATACTCATATGAAAATAAAACAATCAAACACTTAACCCATTAAAAATCCAAACTACAATCAAAACCCTAACCCAAAAATGGTTAGTTCATAGCTAAATTAATAATACAAAAACGAAAAACACAATTAATCAAGTTCAACATAATGAAACTGAGATAAAAGATAAGAAATCTCCGCAAAAGATGAATCCCTTAGTTAGAATCGAATCTTCACCCTTGTTACAATAAAAAATCACTCAAAAACTCATCCAAAGAATATGTAAAAGCTGTTTAACCTAAAAACGAAGACCCCTGGACAAAAAGCTCAGTTTTTCTTTTATACCTTGCCCAAAAACACACACAAAGTAAAACTGTGTGTTTAACAAAATTGCAAATAATGAACGTCGCCGCGACGAAGAAAGAATCAGATCTGGAGCATGTCTGGCGTACTTCGCTGCGGCGAAGGACAAATCTTCGTCGGGGCGAAGCTGCTTGAAAAGTTCTGGATTTACAGAACTGCCACTCTGCTTGCTTCTTCGATTCCTTCTTCGATTCTCGATGCTCTCCCTTTGGAACAAGCCTCATCGTGCTTTATCCTACTTCAGAACTCTCCTAACTTCTGAGATCCGCTAACTTCTAAGTCAAAAACTTCAAATTTTGTCCTTATTTGCTCAAAAATGTCCATTTTAACCTGAAACACAAAATGTAAAGAATTAAACAACAATTTAGGTCAAAATGCACCAAAAAGTACCTGAAATCCGAATAAAAAGTCTAAAGAAAACTGTATAATCCACGGATTATCAGAGGGTTTAGGCGTGAGCCTTGGAGGAGGGACCAGCCTAAGCATCGATCCCTCCTATTGGGCCTTTATCCAGGTTTGGGCCCGAGCCCTATAACACTGGTCCTCCCAAAGACCGATCCTGGGTTTGGTTTTTTAGGCAGTTCCATTGGGCCCGAGCCCAAATTCCTACCTTTAAGCAAAACATAAAATTTAATACTTAGGGGTTGTTTGGATCGGGGGTATATAAGATAACGGGGGTAATCTTCATTTATTTTGCAAGATTCCTATGTTTGGTTTACAAACAATAAATAAATAATGGTAATCTTTTATTGTAAATAGTGTTTACTGTTAATAATGTGGACAATAATCTTATTATCTTGTTAGGAAGTGTTATTAAAACATTACCAGGGTAATCTGATTTTTCTACCCATTTTGTCGTTAATTAAAAACTATTTCAGACATAATTGCCCTCGAATGCCTACCAAATAACAATTACCTAGCTATCCTACATTTGAGAAATCAGTTAAAACACCCCAGCCACAAAAAGATTTAAAAATTAACAAAATACCCCCAACCACCCAAGACCACCGCGAGCTGTCAGCATCAATTGCCGTAATGGTGCATGACCGGTGGGGATTTGACTGGTCGTGCACTGGAAATGGCCAGATCTAGCTTTCTATGGTCATGAAATGGCTATAGATCAGGCCATTTTTCGACCATGGATTTGTGATCCATGGCCATTTCCGGCTTTGCTAATGCATGGCTGGCCATATACGGCCAGTCATGCGCCATTCCATCAACTATCAACAATGACCGACAGTGGTTGTTGGCTATCGGCAGTAGCTTAGGGTGGGTGGGGGTGATTTTGCTATAAATTAAAGTTTTATATGGTTGGGGTGTTTTAGCAAAATTTCAAATGTAGGGAGTTAAAAAAATTATTCACAAAATAATAATAAAAAAATACTATTATATTAATATTTAAAAAAGGAGAGCAATTTAGTAATCTATATAACATACCAACCCATTTATCCTTCCAACTAAACATATTATTCACCAATTTATTTGAACCAACCAAACACATTTTCTAAACATTCCTAGTAATTTTCAAGGTGATCTTTCTTTCCATTAATATAATATACCCCTATAATAAAACATTATATGATCCAAAATTCCAAACACCCTCTTATATATAAGTCACTTCTTTAGATAATTGATGAAGCTTTCATTGTACGAGTTAAATCCATTTTGGTCTCTAGGATATGACCTAAGTAAAATACAATCTTGTAGAATTTGATAGTAACATTTAGGTCCTTTCTCGTATTAACCTTTTAAAACTTTTCTGTAAATGTTTAAAATACCCTTAATTTGTTAATTTCTTATTAAAAATCTTAAGTTTCGGTATGGCAATGGCGCAACAAAACGCACATGAATTTCTAAAATCCGTTAACGAACTTTGCAACTTGGCCACTGCCGTACAAGTCTTCGAGCGCCGATGCCAAGACTTACAAAACCACCTCGATTCCATCCAAAGCACAATCGACGCCAAATTCTGCCATGATACCTCACCATCACACTAAAACGCGGATCAATTACAACGCCTTACAGAAACGATGTCTGATACATTTGTAAGTGAATAGAGTGAGTTGATGGAGTTTTACACTTGAAAAACTCAGATTGGTTGACAAGGAATCGAGCTTGCAATTTAAAACCAACTCTAGTGTTTGTACTCAACAACAAAAATAACACTTAAAACAAAGAAAAACAAGGTTGCCAAAATGATTCCAAGGCCTAAAGGATCACCACCAACCAAGGATGAACCACCACCAACTTTTTTGACAAGATTGAATAAAGGTTAAAATGAGCTCTCACTAGAACTACGAATTTCATTCATCCAAAAAAACCACCTTACAATAGGAGAAGCTGACCTTATATAATGGCCTAACAAAAAGTTGCAAAAGTTGCCCTAACTTGGTTTAATCTTGGGCGTACAAGTGGCATGCACTAACTCCTAATAAATCTAAGCCATACAGAAGAAAATTGACCAATATTTGAATTGGTCATACACGGGTTCCAACATAAGAGAAACAAAAAATAAAAAAATGCATGCATGGATTAGGTAAAACACAAGATCCTAGAACTTTTCCTAAGTGGTAAGGGACATGGAGCCGTTTAAACCTCACAACCTTGTTTTTGCCAAATTGGGTAATGCTTGTAACCACTCATGTGTTCCCTTGTCTCTTGCATTTAATGCTCCCACATCCTTCCCTTGATTCTCTTAGCAAAGTTTGAATACTTGAACTACTTTTGGTGGGAAATTTCCCAAGTAATCAAGCTACATCCAATTAAAGACATTGAATCCAAATAGTCAAAATCCATTTTGGGCCAATTGGGCTCATGATGAATGACTCTACCTACTTGGGCCTAATTTTGAGCCATAATATCTCCTTAGGCCGAGTCCTTGCTCTTGCCTTCCATTATGCATTTTCCTTGGGCCAAAATAATCTCACCTTCTTAAATAATTTCTTCAATGGGCTTCACTTGGTTTCCATGAAGGTTTTTGTTAGGCTTTGTTGGATTCTTATTAATGTCGCTTCAACCTAAAATTCTACCACCAGCTGATACTCAAACAACAACCGAAATGCTGACTAAGAATGTCAATCTGACTTGACGATCATGGTCGTTTGAGCTTCACTATCTCTGTGAGATGATGTGTAGCCGCGACCTTAGACACCTTGTCACGCATCTATCGGACGTTGAAACCCTCTAATTGAGACTCAACTTCGACACTAAAATTGGCTCCGAAGCCGGCGAAACTTGTGTTAGATTGTGTGGGGCATCTCTTTTTACAAGGTTTACAAGGCTACACCAAGGACACTCCCATGATTCATCTTGCCAGGCTTCGGTTCTTGTGTTAGAGTTCTTCCTCAGATTGATTACTAAGAGCGAGAGCCACACTGAGATTGATAAATCGATAAAACAAGAGGCCGAGAAGGATTCTATTGCCTGGAGAAAGAGACTGCTTAGTGAAGGAGGTTTGAGTAAAGCTTGTGAGATTGATGCCAGAGGCTTACTTCTGTTCGTTGCTTGTTTTGAGATTCCTAAAGTTTTTAAGAATGAAGATGTTAGGGATTTGATTAGGTTTAGTAATTTCACGGAGATTGTGATTTCCTTAAACGGTGTCGTGTTATTATTGCAAGGGTTCCAGGCATGTGCTCATCCTTACTCTTTTTTGCATTTTGTGTTTTCCGTATGTTTGGAGGGCAGGGAACGGAATACATACATTTGAGATTAATGATGTAAGAATAAAATTATACCATATAAAGAGACACGATATTTACGTGGTTCGACATAACGTGCTTACATCCATGAATGATTGAAATCCATTATAGTTTCATAAACACAATATACAAGAGTACACAACACTATAAACTCGGTACATAAAATAGAGCAGAAACATCCTAGTTTCTAATCACACTCAACCCAGTACCTAGAGTGGAAACACTCCCAGTTTCTAAGACACTCTCCCCGTGGTGTTTAATAACTCTTACATCAAATACTATGTGTTCTCACATTCTCTCATAACATTGAATTGGTTCTCACTCATATATTTATAGATACAATATGAGATATATTTTATTTCTAATAGGATTCATTTTTATTTCTAATAGGATTCATTTTCCAATTCCTAATAAGACTCATAAGTCTATTCCTATTTACAATTGTATTCTTTATTAAATAGTTTTCCTAAATACATTCAATTTTACGTAGGAACAAATAGGAAAGTGAGCTACAATATCCTAACACCATCATCAATGTAGCTATTTTTGAAATTAGGATAACTTGTTTATTAGTAGAATGAGCACACCTATTGTGCTGTTTGATTTGCCATGACTATTTTAATTTGCTTTGTTTATTTCTGTTATGCCACACAAATTGTATGCTTAGTCCTGTTCTTAGTTTAGCGTCATGAAAGTGTTCTCTGATGGATGGCAACACTAAGTATTGATGAAGCACAAATTACATTACAATGTGAAACTAGTTTTCTTTTTTGGTGAATATCTAGTTATTGAATAGTCAGCATCAATGTGTATGGTTATGTATGCATGTGTAATATTTCTTCCTCTAGGAAGACAGAAACCAAAGCTGGTTTGTGATGGACCCCCGACAATCAAACGGTATAACCACAAGGGGTAGAAAAGGAAAAGCCACGCATGACAAGTGGAGCAGCGGTACAACAAACATAAAGAGTTAGTTAATTCCTTTCCTAACAATTTAACACTTTTCCACTAGGAGATTGATATATTCCAAAACATATAATACATGGAAAAATAATCCAGAAAGAAATCAGTTTCAAGAAGTTAAAATTCAGGCACAACAAAATAAGTCAAAAAAAAAAAAAAAAAAAAAAAAGAAAAAAAAAAAAAAAAAAAAAAAAAAAAAAAAAAAAAAAAAAAACTAACTTGGAAAGATATGTCTCTAGCCTTAATACAACAAAGCACGAAAAAAGGCTCAAGTAAAAGCAACCCTAGAACAAAACCTAAACCCTAATTTATTTGTAATTACACCCCGTATCACTCCATAACTAAAATTACCAACTAATTAATCAAAAACCTAAACCCTAATTTCCCAAATCACCCACAACAAACAATAATGCAAACATTTTTTTTTTTTTTAAAGAAAAATAAAAACCTTAATCCACATAAAAGATTACAATAGAACTGCACAAAACTAGAATCAAAATACACAAATTGAATACAAAACAATGTGAAAAAAAAAAAAAACTCACCGTTACTATCGCAAACTTCATATTCCATAAAATGAATCGCAAAAAACTCAGTTCTTCTTCCACGAATCCAAACAAAACAGGAAATCGAGAAAGTCAAAACGATAAATGAAGCTAAAACGCGGGTTTGTGTAGGTTTTAAAACTTAATTTATTAGTAAAATTAAATGAAAATTAAAATTCTAAAATTTAATTTGAAAGAAGGCTTTAATCTAGGCGAGGAGTCCAAATCTCAATTTAGGCCCAGTCCTAATAACATTAATATATTAAATATATTACTCAAGTAACTAAGAATTTTATTTTTCAATTAATATTAACTATAAATATTTAATATTAATTAGGATAACTAAATTAGTACAATAAAGCTAATATATTTAACAAAAGGAAAGGAGAAAGAATAGGTGTGATATCATAGAGAACATAGTGGAAATTGTTAGGAGGAGCTGACCTTCGAAGATCAACCTGTGCTCATTTCTTTATTGCTGCTCTTAATACTATTTTACATTTACTTTCATTGTAGTACAGTTCACAGATCCTTAATACAAGCATCATTACAATTGAATCGATCTTTGTTTGTATTTTGATCCTTGATTGATTTCGGATTGTTATGATTGATTGAATGTAGAATTGATTGAGTAATCTCGGCTGGTTCCATCAAACTAGTATTAGAGCCAAGACGGATTTAGGGTATGGTTGGTACAAGGATGGAGAATAGACTAGATAATGTTGAGAAGGATGTTGTCAAAGTGACAGAGACGGTGACCGCAATGAGGGAGATTTTAATGGATATGCAGAATTGGATGCGTAAAAAGGATGAAGAAGAGGAGGAACAAAGAAGAAATTTAGCTGGCAATTCGAGTTGTGGAAGGGTAGAACACACTGAACACAGACCCCACGAGAATTTGGGAAATCAGGGCGAAGCTAATGGGGACATAATGAAGACAGAATGCATGAGAACCAGCGAGGTAGCCCATCAGGGGAGGAATGGAACCAAGGTGGTGAAGGATGGTATTGATGCGACTGGAATGGCCGAAAACTGGAGTTGCCTATTTTTTTCGGTAAAGACTCGTACGAGTAGATATTCAAGGTAGAATGCTATTTCACTTTTAATGAAATCGTTGAAGAGCACCAAGTGGCAGCAACCGCACTTTGCATGGAGGGAGAAGCTCTTCACTAGTACCAATGGCTGAAAATCAAATTGACGATAAATAACTGGCAGGAGTTCAAAGTAGCCATCTCCTAAAGATTCAGTGGAACACAAGAGGTGAGTCTCTTAAAGCTACTGATGGCCACTAAATAAACGGGAACAATATTGGAATATCATCGCCAGTTTGAAGAAGTGGTGGCGTTAATGGCCGGTGAAAAGGAAGAGGTGCTAACGATTGCCTTCTTGAATGGGCTCAAGCCTGAGGTGAAAGCTAAAATAAAGCTTCAACAACCCAACCTTATAACACGGCCCAACTCACTTGTTAGTGTAACCCAATTGGCCCAAAGAGTGGAGGAGCGAAATCGGACTATGGAAGAGGCCAGACTTGGGCCTACTCGCTCAAATAAGTGGACCCAATCTATTTTTGGGCCACGAACTTATGCCCAATCAACTCGAATCGATGAATCTAACAAAACCCAACACCCCAATGACCTAATCCAATATTCCACTTCCCACTCAGCTCCAAACCCACCTCTATGGCGTACCTAGAATGAGACTTACTCTAACCCCAACTCATCCTCGTCGGTCAACTTTCGACTAAACCCACTCTGGCAAGACTTCCCTTTTCGGAGAATGACTGAAGTTGAGATCCAAAGAAAGAGAGAAGGGCTTGTGCCACCGATGCGATGCAAAGTACTTACTGGGTCATCGATGTGGGGATAAGCAAGTACAAGTGTTGTTGGTGGAGGATGAGGACTCATAAATAAATGAGTTGGCCACGAAGGAACCCAAAGGTGAGGAAGAAACATCAAGAACCTTGGAGCTTTCCATCAGTTCGAAGGAGGACATAAGTGGACCCAAAACTTTGAAGCTAAAAAGAGAGATCGTAGGGAAAAGTGTAGTGGTTTTAATTGACAATGGTGCATCTCACAATTTTATCAATCGACAGGTAGTTGAAGAGCTAGGACTTCTGGTGGTTTCAACCAAGCCTTTTGGAGTCAGGGTTGGGGATGGTTACAAAGTGAGTTGTTGGAGGGAGTGTCGTGAGGTGAAGCTGCAATTGCAGAACATTTTAGTGCTTTAGAATTTCTACTCCTTCGATATGACCAATGCTGATGTTATTCTAGGTGATGCATGGCTGGAAACCTTGGGAGAGATTACCATGAATTGGAAAGAATTCGTGATGAAATTCAACTAGTCCGAAAGAGTAGTAGTTCTGGTTGGGGATCCCTCCCTGAGTAGAACAAAATTGTCACTGAAGAAAATACTTAAAATGTTGCAGTATGAAAGACCAGACTACTTGTTGGAATTTAACAATTTGAAGTTGCAGGAAGGCGAAGAAACAATGGTTGATAGTAATCTTTCAACTCTGTTAAAGGAGTACCAGACCTTATTCGAACCACTGCCAAGGCTACCACCAACAGAGGTACACGATCATGCTATAAGACTAGAACCTAGAGCCCTCGTCCCTAATGTCAGACCCTACCGGTACCCATATTACCAAAAGAATGAGATAGAAAAGATTGTACGTGAAATGCTAGTTTCAGGAATTATTAAACCGAGCATCAGTCCATTTTCCAACCCGGTACTTTTGATAAAAAAGAAAAACGAAAGATGACGCTTCTGTGTTGATTATCGGGCACTTAACAAGGTCACCATACTCGATAAATTCATTATTCTGACAGTGGATGAATTATTTGATGAGTTAGGCGGCGTCATTATGTTTTCAAAACTCGACCTCAAGTCCAAGTATCATCAAATACGAGTCAAGGAGAAAGATGCCCATAAGACAACCTTCCACACACATGAGGGGCACTACGAATTTCTTGTAATGCCCTTCGGGTTATCAACTACCCTGTCAACCTTTTAAGCTCTCATGAATAACATTTTCAAATCATACTTACGTAAGTTTATCTTGGTTTTTTTTATGACATATTGGTTTACTGCATTAACCTGGAGACACATTTGCACCATTTGAGGCTCACATTTCAGATATTACTCGACCATCAACTAGTGGTTAATAGAAAAAAGTTACACCTTTGTGCAGTCTTAGTTGGAATATTTAGGTCACATCATTTCCAGTCAAGGTATTGCCGTTGACCCTTCCAAGGTGGAATACATACTAAAGTGGCCTATCCCAAATAATGTCAACCCTCCACGGATTTCTAAGACTGACTGAATACTATCGGAAGTTCATCAATGGATATGGAAAAATCGCCCTACCTTTAACCAATCTTCTCCGCAAGGATTCCTTTGTTTGGACTGAATAATCACAGAAAACTTTTGAAGAGCTGCAACATGTTATGACTACTGTCCCAGTCCTTGCAATGCTAGACTTCTCAAAGACTTTCATCATT